AATAAGACCACGTCCATCACTTCCTGCTACAATCCACGATCTTGAATGATCTTCGTGAAGATTGGGCTAACCTCCAGCAAAGAGACATTTTCCAGACTGGTAGAAAGTATGCCGAGGTGCCTTCAAGATGTAATTGAGGCAAGAGGAAAAAATACGCGATATTGAAATGTTAATTAAAAACTTAAAACAAAATTATAACCAATTTTATCTGTCCGTCTTTAATTAATTAATTTGTTCTTAAATTTTTCATAACAATTTACACTTTTTTAAACTTTTTTAGTAAAAGACAAAATTATTAAACGTTAAAAAACGTGTAACTTTGATTAATATTTTTCAATTAATTAATATTTTTATGTAAAATCAAAACCCATTATATTTCGTGGTCTGATTGACCAAATAACTTCTTTCAATTAATTAATCGTTTTATGTAAGGTATTGGTTGAAATGAAATAGCGCCATGAGCGGGATTCGAACCCACGACCTTCTGCTCAATACGCCGCTGTTCTAACCCCCCCTAACCATCCCTAACCACTTGAAGTATCGTGACTTCGATCCACTCGGACACCAACTCCCCATCTGAACCTACCTTTCTAATTGACATGGGTTATTGGTGTCTACGTGGATCGAAGTCACGATAGCTCAAGTGGTCGAGCAGCGGCGTATTGAGCCGAAGGTCGTGGGTTCGAATCCCGTTCGTGACGCTAACTATTTCATTTCAACCAATACCTTACATAAAACGATTAATTAATTGAAAGAAGTTGTTTGGCCAATCAGACCACGAAATATAATGGGTTTTGATTAATATATAGAAATCAAATTATATTATAAGTGGGTGGAATTTTTTGCAAGGCAGTGAACATAATTTTTGTTACCGAGCGTCGTAGCCAATCCATCTCACTTTTTGTTTAATATGCTAGTGTAAATTCAATTTGCTTACTAGGACCAAATTTCATAAAAGATAAAATATTTTTATTTCGCATCTTCATAGTGTCTAAAGTACGTCCAGTCCGATTTACTATCTTTCAATATTCTTAAATCTTCAATATCCTCAATGTTTATTGAAGCTAAGAAATATTGTCAATATTATTGTCCGTAAACCGCACAATACCAAGACGGGCGGGGCCCATTTTGAGGAAATCGCTCGGCCCATTTTAGAGGGACGCGTGTAATTTCGCGACCCATCGCCGGTGGAACTGATCGACATAATTTCACCCCTCATAATTTTCCTTATTCTTCGGCCGAAAACAAATGGTCGAACGGTCTGCCGAACTGGGGCGACGCGTGCTTCGCTTTACCCCGGGCGTGAAGAATCCCCATGTCGTTTCACTTTCCCGGAAGACCAACTACAAAGAACCTTCAAGGTGCAATTACTGCATAAAACGGACCAGTTGTTCTAATTTTCTTTCCATTATCATTACTCGCTCTATTGTAAGGCAAAACGCTAATTGCACATCACTATTACGACCACTTTCGAATGTCTCATTTACATGTTTAAAAATATTTTAAAATAAAACATTCCATTCCCATTTGCCCCTTAAAAATCAATTTTAAATTATCTCGAGCAGTTATATTTCAGGGCCGATAGAAAAAGGACTTAGCCTGCCGCTAAAATTTATTTTAAAATTTTTCAATTGGGGGGCAATTGCTGTTTTTGTTGTTACTCAAATATGTTTCGGCTTTACGCCTTCTTCAGTAGAATTGTCATACTGGCATACTGTCATACTTGGCTGAAGTAGGCATTCAAAAGAACATAAACATGCTAGGATTTTACTGTAATCAGTGGAACTTACATGTTAATCCTTAATAAATAAAAAATCATGGACTTTAGAAGAGGAGGCCGACTCCGTTCATCAGAGAAGTGGTTCTTCAAACGAGAGAATTGCAGAAGTCAATAAATACAATATTTAGGAGTTATACTCGCACCTAATCTTTCCTGGTCCTCCAAATACTTGTTCGTCCTTAAAAGGACAATGAGGATCTTTAACGTCCGCATCTGTCCGATTAGGCCTTATCGGACGTTTTGATTCTCAAGATGAGAGCTGACGCACTTCTGCATACGACTGATGGGTGTTACAGCCGCAGCGTTGGTGTAGAAGCAGTCCCAGCCCCGAGGGGACAGGACTAACCTCGCTCCCCGCTTGCCGATCCCGAGTGGTAGGGTCCGCAAGCATCGAACCGTATGCCGCGCGCAAAGGGCTACCTAGGCCGAAATACAACAGCCTGGTTTCCCTCGAACTCCCTAGATGGAGAAGGCCACTCTATCGCCCAAAGTATTGGGGCTCCCGTAGCGTAAGAACTTCCGGGTCCGCTCCGGCCGCGGTTTTGTTTAAAGTGGAATTGCTAACCACCCCATAGAGGAGACTGCCTTCGGTGTCGCCACTCGTGTACATTGCATACTTCGAGTAGGCGCAACCGTCCACTGTCCACTGTCCATTCCCATCCGCCACTTCTCACGTATTCGAGGGACTCCATCAGCGTAGTCTAAGCGTCCTCAACGCTATACGCTTCGATGGTCCGATCCTTCGTATCCCGCGAGGCCGGGTTTATAACGATGGTCATACGCACAGGCGTAGGTGGATGGCCACCAAAAAAGGCCAGAGGCGACGGTGGGAGTCGAACCCACGACCGCGGCGTCTATGAGCCGAGAGTCTCTCACGCTAACCACTCGGCTACCGCGGTTCCCTCTTTCCTGGCCCATATATACCTCGAATAAAAAGCTCTTGACACCAAAAAACAGCGATAAATATCTCTTGGTCTCCTTTCATTAGGCAGAACGTCGTACCGCTGAGAGCAAAATACTGCATATTCAATAAAATCTGTATATTTTGTGTTATTGATACCAAATGTGCCACGTGCGGAGAAAGTAAACGCTTCTTTACCAGCAAATTGTTTTCGTTACTGTCTGCCACACCTAGCCTTCTCCTACACTTGGAAACTCCCTCTGATCTTATTTTTATTTATACTCTAATACTGTACTTTGCTTATATAGTGAAACCAGAAGGTCCCCAGATTCTATGCTGGCCAATATGACGGCTAAAGTAATTGTTAATTCCAACCTTGGTTCGCACATTTGAAGGTCTTTAATATGGAATTCGATGCATTTTAAACTTAGAGTATATAATGGAATGGGAACCTTTCCCAAGTGCATCATAATGAGTTCCTTAGTCGTGTTCACCTATCAACCAAAGACACTCTTTACAAACGGCTTTGTCATAGGCCTGGTCTGTTTGACTTTAGGAAACCAAACGTAGATGGCCTAAATCTATTTGATCTTTGATGACTGTTCAAGATAAGATGTTAAGTGCTAATGCCTAAATGCGGTTGTCTGGTAGCAGGACAATGAAAGGATGTGCTCCTTATGCAATTCACGCAGTTCGGGAAATATATTCCATCTGTAGTGGCCACTAGTTAGTTTCCACGATACTAGATGCCACTACGACTTATGGAATGTTCTCGCCTTCCACTCTGCAGCCAATCAGAGTAGAGCTCTTCCCTATATAAGCAAGGGCACTGCCTCGCTGGAACCAGCTTCGACAGCCCGACGAGCTATCAGTAATGTAACACCGTCGACAACAGCAAAAGTACTCGCAGCATTAGCCTGATCTCGCCGACTTGGCCATTAAGCCAACTGCTGCCCATCGGCTAATTGCTGCATTCCAGTACCTTCGGCCTCTGTGGAGTCAACCGACTCAAGGCCCCCCTCCCGGATCTTAGCCAACGGTTACTCAGTCACACAACACCACCAACGACACCACTCGCACGGTCTCGGCTTTATACCTTCGTCACGGCATCTCTACACAACACCGGTCCTTTTCAGGGCCACAAAACACCCAGTCACTAAACATCTATGGCGGAATGCAGAATCCTTGGGGAGGTGCAGTTTTTTTTCAATAAGGAACTTTTCGGCTAATAACAATACAATGGGTACATCTACTTGAGCTTCTGTTAAGGAAAATGTTAGGCCCCTTATAAGATTGCTTTGCTAGAGGTACAAACTGGTTAAGGAATTTAGTAGTTAATTAAAACAGAAGTAATATTACCTCGAAGTAACAATTTTTTTCCGCCAACCTAACAATAGCTACATATTAAAAATTAACTATTATTTCATTTTTATTTTTTATGAAAAAACGCAGACGGCATAAAATCAAGTGTATTCAACTTGTTCCTGTTTGACATGTGTTCACCGACTTGCAGACCAACTACCATCAACTTTTGTTTATTCCATGCCATTGACTGGAAAAACTAATAACAAAACAAAATAATCACCATTTTATTTATTTATTTTTTATTAGACATCTGCAACAAGTAAATATAACTGACGCCTATTTGCCCTGACCCCTTTTGTTGCATACGGAAATGCCAAAAATGTGGACCCATCAGCCACTGGATTAAAAATAAGTCCTCAGTTCAATGGAATGAAGCCCAGGACAGAGGCATGCAAAAAAATTTCATCATAGAACCACCACAAAAACTAATGGCAGAACTATTAAATCTAGGAATTGTTACGATTAGAATAATATTTAGACTGTTAATTGGACTTTGCAGACTTCAGAGGCATTTGTACAGACTCAGACTAGAAGAAACAACCCTGGGCAGATGCCAGGAAGAAGAAGAGACAGAGGAACATATCTTAGGTTGATGCAAAGGTTTATGTAGGCTGAGATTTCTACGATCAGAAGGGGAAAAGCCCAGGCCTAAAGGATGCACACGGGATCCTTGATAAAGCTTTGGGATCTGGTAAAAAGCCTTAAGCTTAATGAGGAGCACTAGACAAAAATGGAGATACACAATAGACCACAACACTGGCCATGGTATGCAGGTCGTAAAGAGGCCTCCTATTCTAATCTTAATCCAAAACAAAATAGTCTTTCCTTCCAAACAACTGATTGCTACACTTGAGCAATCCTCAATCGAGCTTGACTAACTCTTTTATTCCAAAATATATTTTTTCTACTTCTGCACTTGAACCTACTTTTTAATGGCATATTTATTGTTTACAGGCAATTACCAGATAAGCAAGTTGCACAAGGTGACCAAAAAGCTGCACACGACTTATGGTGACATTGTCAAAATATCAAATCTTCTCGGCAGGCCTGACATGGTGTTCCTGTTTGACCCGGCTGAAATTGAGAAAGTGTTCAGATCAGAGGATACCCTCCCATTCCGGCCATCCATGCCCTCGTTGATCTATTATAAAAATGTGCTCAGGAAAGATTTCTTCAGTGATATCGGCGGACTGATAGCAACGTAAGCTTATTACAGAAGAATAATAAACACAAATTATATTTAAACTGTAACCAATACTTTTTTCTTATTCTTTTAGACATGGTGAAAAATGGAATATTTTTAGATCTAAGGTACAACAGCAAATGCTGCAACCAAGAATTGCTAAGTTGTATATAGGACAAATAGAAGAAACTGCAGATGAATTTGTACAAAGGTACAACTAGATATTTTATAAAAACAAATTTCACAATAAAAATCTTAACTCTCAAGAAAAATCTCTAAGATATGTGAATAAAAAAAACTGAATTTGTAGAATGGGCTTATGTTTTCTGTGATCTTTTGTCTATATAATTTGATTAATTGGCCTGGGGTACCTTAATAATTATAGTCAAAGAAAACAATTTTGATTCTTTAAAATCCAATTTTTTTTTTAAATGACCTTACCCCGGGCCAAAGAAAGGAAAAGGGGGGGGAACCGGCATATCAAGAATCAATAATAGAAGGGTACTCTTTGGCTCCATATAGAGAGCTTGTGGGAATGCCACCTGATATGAGAATTGTGATTGAACCGGGCAGCAATATCTTGGTCCTTTTTCTGATTCTGGGAGGAAACTGAGTTGTTTTATCGTAAATAGCACTAATGCGTCCCTAGTGTGTATTAAAGTGAATGTATTTCTTGTTGTGAATAGACAAACTTGTAAACTACAATATCATAACGCCTATAATTTAAAACTTCTTTATTAAATAATTTGAGAATATTGGCCAAATATTGACCATTAGATTAGTTTGTATTTAGGGGCTTTAAAGGGTGCTTAAAAGGAATCCTAACTGTTTTTATCAAAACATATTTTTAAGAGACGGCATAGGAATGCTACCTGGTATGAGAATTGTGCTTAAGCACAGAAGAGAGTCTGGGTCCCTTGTTAAGTTTCTTGAAGGAAATAGGCTTATTTTATTGATTGTATTTATGATGTTAACTTATGATATTGTTGTGTACCAAGTGTGTTAAGAGTTAATGTATTTATTAGCGTGAAAGTAGGCAGAATAATGAGAACCCCATTGACCTTCAATTAGATTAGTTATATAATATATGTAGAGGATAGTGGAGGAATGTCAGGTACTTCAACATCCTGAGTAACGGTATGTAAATAGGAAAGAATGTATTTAAGAGTGAATGAGAACTTGCGGGATGGGTGGTTTTCAAGGCCTGCCGGTAATTTATTGTAAATTACAAAAACTGGAATCAGCCCAGCTCTGCACATGTGGGCACTTTCATGTGTATGCGTTTCATTAATGTGCAGAGTTGGGCTTATATAAATCAATAATCAGTAACTTCCCATTAATCAAATATTATCAGTATTTACTATATTTACAATAGTTTAACTCTGTATTAAGGTTATAGCAATTATAAAATTCTCGGTTATATGTTCTGCTTTATAAATGTTGAATTATTGTATAAATTGTCATTTTCTTACACCTTTACCCTGGGGTGCACGAAATATTCCTAAATTTTCTTGAATTTTGTCAATGGTATGGATATATTAATTAGGTTTTGTGGTCTGCTTGACCAAATAAATTCTTTTCAATTAATTAAGGTTTTGGTTGAGATAAAAAAGTGAATGGCACGAGCGGGATTCGAACCCACGATCTTCGGCTAGATACGCCGCTGCTCTACCACTTGAGCTATCGTGACCTCGATCCACTCAGACACTAACTACCCATCTCAACCCCCACCTTTTGAATTTTCCCTCCTTTTTGCCATTTTTCAAATGTTGTGTAATCTATTTGATTCTGGGCGACAATTGAAATGGCCACGGAGAGCTTAGTAAGTATACTTCATTTTGCTTAATTAGGTTTCATGGTCCACTTGACCAAATAAATTATTTTCAATTAATTAAGGTTTTGGTAGAGATAAAAAATTTCTATATTGTACAAATGTAGGAAAACTCGTTTGGATTATCATTTTTATACTAAGTTGAACAAAACTAAATCAATGAAAACAAATAAGATCAATAATAACGGAAAATAGCCGAATGTAGTAAATCTGCAACTTTTAACCTTTTTTATTAATTTGATTAAAAGTGATGACTTCTGTGAAATTAACTCTTTCTAATTTCAAATTAACCCTTTTTAACTCCAAATTAATTCTTTTATGACCTAGCTGTCGGATGCCCCTGTATATAAACAAATTAACCCTAAATGTTTATCCTTTTACCATATAACACAACTGAAAATAATTAAGGTTTTTAGTGAGATAAAAAAATCAGTGTCACAAGCAAGATTCGAACCCACGACCTTTGGCTTGATACGCCGCTGCTCTACCACTTGAGCTATCGTGACTTCGATCCACTCGGACACTAACTTTCCATCTCAACCCCACCTTTTGAGTTTTCCCTCCTTTTTGCCATTTTTCAATATGAATGTATGAATATATATTTTTAAAAAGTTCTTCTATCATGTTGCAGAATAATTGAAATAAAAGATGAGAACGACACTGTGCCAGCAGATTTTTTGAACGAAATTCACAAATGGGCTTTAGAATGTAAGTTTGAGTTACTTTTATGCTTTAATACCAATAAGTGGTTGAAATAGTGAGGAGTGGCCAGGTTAGATGTATGTCACAAAAACACCTCTTTCATTTAATTGCCAACATTTCGACCTTTATCTGGGTCATCTTCAAGGCCTGGGTATACAAGCGTATGTTGATTGAGAATTTGTTTTTTTGACGTACATCTAACCTGCTCCTCACTATTGCAACCACTTATTGAACCACTGAAATATCACATATTTAAAATTACATTTAATTTAATTTTAATTTGCATAACAGAGCAGGTTTGAGTTGTGGATTTAAGGATAAAAGTTCTTCATTTCAATTTCAGCTATAGCGAAAGTGGCGCTTGATGTCAAATTAGGATGCCTTAAGGACATACCCGAAGATACCCAAAAGCTCATACATGCTTTAGATACATTCTTAAAGAATGTAGTCATTCTCGAACTCAAAGTACCGTTCTGGAAAATTTTCTCAACACCGACTTGGAAAGAATATATAAATGCTTTAGACACAATAACAATGTATGTTGTTACATTGTAAATACACTTATCAAAAATTTCATTTTCAATATAATTTCAGTGTTGTATTAAAACACATAAACAATGCGTTAAAGCAGCTGGACGGTGAATCAGTTGAACTGAAAAGTGATGCTTCTTTGTTAAAAAGGGTTTTAGCACAAAATGGAAACAATACGAAATTAGCGACAATTCTTGCACTCGATTTATTCCTCGTCGGGGTTGACACTGTGTGTAAATATTTTTCTATGCAATTTATCACAAACATGCATCTCTAAAATATGCAATTTTCAGACTTCTGCTTCAATCGCTTCAATTTTGTATCAGTTAAGCCTAAATAAAGACAAACAAAATATTCTGTATGAAGAACTATCAAGTGTGTTAGAAGACAATAGAATTACATCTGAGTCCTACGATAAAATGCCATATCTCAGAGCATGCATAAGAGAGACGTTAAGGCATGATATACGCATTTAGCATAAAATTGTAATTTTAAAAAAATTCTATTAACAATTATTTTGATTTTTTTTTAGAATGTATCCTGTTGTAATTGGAAATGGACGTTGCCTCACAAAAGACACAGAAATTTTAGGATACAATATACCAAAAGGGGTAATTTATTAATTTTGCACTCCTTTGTAAATCAAAACTTTAATTTTTATAAAAAAATTTCAGACCCAAGTAGTGTTTCAACATTATGTAATTTGTAATTCTGAAAGGTATTTTGATTCTCCTGAAAAATTTGAACCGGAGAGATGGTTAAAAGAAAGCAATAAAAATTATCATCCGTTTGCTTCGTTGCCATTTGGATTTGGCAAACGAATGTGCATTGGAAGGCGTTATGCTGATTTAGAAATGCAAACTCTCATTGCTAAGGTATCTTATAAGACATCTTAAAAAAAATAAAAAAAATCAAATTTAAATCTTATTATTTTACAGATAATCAAAAAGTTCGAAGTTGAGTACCACGGCCCTAAACTTGATTATTATGTCCATCCGATGTTTATGCCAAATGGGCCTTTAACATTCACTTTTAAAGAGAGACATTAAAAATTGTAAAATAATGATTATTTTACAAATCTCATTGAACATTTTTATTCTGAGATCGTTTCATTGCGCAGTATTTCATATAAATATTATGTACAAATATAAAATAAATTTGTTATTAATGTGTGATTTATTTAAAGGAAAACCATATTTAATTTTCAAATTAACATCAGACAAATTCGATTTTCATTATGTCAGTAACAAGATAGATTATATAGTCATAGAATGTTTATTTATTTACATTAATTGAACGCATTATTCATGGTAAATGTGGTTCTTTTTATTTATTTATATAATAATATGTGTTGTGCCAAGTTATAAGAAAAATAAAGAAAAATAAGTGAACAAACAAAGGTCAAGACTGAATTGTTGGGAATTGATAAAAACTATACAGGTTGGATAGGGTTAACTGTCAATACTGCCATGATGGATTCACTAAATAAAACATTTTCTTTATTGTGCCAACGTTTCGATCTTTATTGAGATCATCTTCAGGGCTCAAAATGTTTGTCTTCTGTGTAATTGTGTCATTCTCGCGTGTCGTGTCGAGAGTGCCCACAGAGGGCACACAAGAATGACAAAATTACACAGAAGACAAACACTTTGAGNCTCAAGACAATTGACAGGTTTTTCATTTCCCCTGTGATACGTAGATTTACCAATCTTTGAATGCTGCTTGATGTTTGGGTATCTTGATTTTGCTGAGCCTTAGGAAAATTTGGGTGTTATTACGGATTTACGTACCCAATTGGTCATTTTTGGTTTTAGTCCAGAGAAGCCAAGGTCCTAGTAGATAGAAAAACCTCCCGTGGGCACCGATAGGAAAAATGACACAAACATAAAGAGATAATCATTATAAATCTTCCCGAAAGGAAGTCTAAGGAACTTGCCTCTCTCTCAGCACGCAAGTTTTGAGGACAATTATATGCCTACTGGCCTGTGAACTAACGCCTAAAGAAGATGAGCAAACCAGAGACAGAGTCAGCAAGTTTTTTTTTCTCCTAAATTTTTCAGTAGCAAACTGAAATAATATATTTTTTGATTTGATGTTGAGAAGATGAAACAAAACAATATTTAATATATATTATATTTACATTTATTGGGAAAAGAATGGTAATTACACAAATGTAATACATTTATCTAATTATATAAGATACACAAATTAGACGTATTATGCTTAAAATATGTTTTGATTCTATCAAAAGCTTATTTGAAATCATGCAATCATAAAGCAAACATTCAGTGGTAATATTTTTAAGTATTTACAAAAAAAACAACACAATAATAAATTTGAGCTAACATGTTATGCCTTATCGCAATGAACACATAACACATTCATGTGTTGAACTACAGATAAAGCATATAATTACATTTAATTTTTAGTTTATTCATAGTAATATGCATAAACCTATATTTTTAAAGTTAAAATATAAACTTTATTTACATTAATAAATAATTATAAAATTGTCAGGTGTACAAAGTTGATGATTTGAAGGAGCTCTTAAGCAACTGCGTGTATCAAACAGGACAATGTAATCATTATAACACATAACAGAACATATTCACGCGTCAATTCTTCTCCTTTTAACAATACAATTTTGATTGTAATTACGAATACAATTTAAAAAAAAACGAATGGCTTAACGTCATAATAAATCATAAAATAATAACTTGTAAAAATGAATTTTTTTTTCTGAATTGTTATACAACTTACAAAAACTATACTTCTTAAAATGAGATGAACACAGGCAAATTCACAGCCTTTTATTGGAAACATAATATTTTGATTTCTCTGTACAAAAGCTTTTATTTTTTATTTTTTACCTATTTAATGACGACATCATATCAGAATGTTTAGCACTCCATAAAATAAAATACACCTCAATTTGAACTTTATTTCAACATTGATAACAATGAATTTGGTTTATAAAACACTTAATATATGTTATGAAATTACCAACATTATTTAAAATTATCTTAAATTTTTTTTTTTAAATAATGGCTAATTACATATTAGTTTTTCCTTAATTATTTTTTAACTTAATTATGTACACATTGGATAAAAACAAACTATTCAAAATTTCCTGTATTCACGATGTTTTAATGAATAAAAAAATCCTTTTAATAATTAATTTACACTTTTTTTTTTTTTTTAAACCGACGAAATATTGCAATACCTTGTGGTGTAATTAATAAAAATATTGTTTAGAAAAAATTCCTAACAGACACCGTTTTAGGAAAGGATATTATAACGTAAAACGTGAAGAATTTGACTGTTTTAGTTCACATTACAATACGCCGTCTGTTTTATCTTCTAACTCATTAAAAAATATAATTACATCTTTAAATAAAATAATGAAATAATAAAAGAAATGTTTTGCGGCCATTATGAGTAAGTTGCACACAAAATTATCTTCACATTTACAAAACTACTTTAATGAATCACTAGTTAAATACTTTATTACAGTAATTTTTACATTCATGGTTATAAAGTGGATAGCCATTATAAGAAAAAAATTATATAAACATTGAGAGAATATTACACCATTTAATTATATTGACTAAATGATTACTTATCTAGACATTTTTAAATATAAACATTGTTTTATATCATTCAGAAATTGAAATACTATAAATACAGTTAGAACTACAGAAATTATGTTAGACACAGTATAATTAATGGACTCAATCGTTTGTCAGTGTTATTCGTAAATATTTTTAATTAATAAACAAACGTACACCTATTATTTATTACAGTAATTTCAAGACGGCAGGCCTTGTGAAATGTAATTGATGCTTTGTGTATACTGTGAATTCTTGAACGTATTTATAAAAAGAAAATTATAACATATCAGTGATGGTCCATGGCTTATCATCAGTCTGTCAAAATCTTGTGGCCGTCACAATGCCCAAACGAGAGGAGCTGGTGCAAGCAAGGCCAAGAGTATCACAATTATTTGCCTTAAAAATACAAAAACCAAGCTGATTAGTACAATTTTAAATTTATACGTTAAAAGTTAAATTTAATATTTTACGCATCTATGATTACGGTGAAAAATGGGTTGTTAAAAATTGTGAAAATCATGTCAAGCGCATGGAAAAGAAACATTTAAGAAATAAGCTAATACTCAGAGAATCAGAAGAGTATATTCATGAAAAATTTTATTCGCACAATTTTGGAAATAATACGAATTCACGATACTCAAGTGGTAGAGCAGCGGCTTATCAAGCCGAAGGTCGTGGGTTCGAATCCCGCTCGTGACACTGACTTTTTTATCTCAACTAAAAACTTAATTAATTGAATGATATTAATTGGTCAAGCGGACCATGAAAAATAGTGAATTTGGGAATAATTTAAACTTTAAAATGCATTTTTTCAAAAGTTTGTGGGGGTTGGGGTTTGTAAATCCCAGGCCCTGAAGCTGATTTCAATAAAGATCGAAACGTTGGCACGATAAAGAAAATGTTTTTCTAAAACCTACGTCACACCATACCGCATCTCACGATTTCTAAATAAATATTGATTAACGGTCACTAATCACCACATATTTTTTCAAAAGTTTCAAATTTGAATTTTAACCAAATTTTCACCACAATCACAGATATATTGATATGGTATTAAAATGTAATATAATAATACAAAATAAATGTATTAACAGGTCAATTCTATTATATGTAACTGAAGCATGATCACACACTTTAAATAGAATAGAAGCATTTGAAATGTGGCTCCACTGAAGAATCCTAAGAAAATCCTGGACCAAATTTCAAACAAATCAATGGGTTAAAAGAGTCAATACTGAAAGAATAATATTATGTAGAGGAAGATGGCTTATTTAGGATGTATTCTTAAAGGCCCAAATACCAAATTCCTCATCTGATAATGAAAGGAAAAATTGAGGGAAAAATAGGAATAAGATTATTTACTGAATGAATTTCTACATTAAATCTTCTTGTTTTAACTATAAATATCTTTCACTTGTAGGAAGGATAGAGAAATCATTACTCAATAATGATTATATGTTAGGATGCTTCTTTGATATCCAAGGAGCGTTTGATAATGCAGACACTTCCTGCATTATAGCAGCACTAAATAAATATAATGTAGACCAACACCTCATAGGATAGGTGAAAACCTACCTAGAGGGCCAGATGGTAAATATGTGCTTAAGTAGTAGTACTCTGATAATCAAGGTCATTGGAGGCTGTCCACAGGGAAGCTGCTTATCCCCCTTTTCTGTGGTTAATCACAGTAAATAGCTTATTAGAGCTTCTGAATAACTCAGGCTTCTATAGCCAATTATTTTCAGACAATGGTCCATAATGATCACGGGTAGGGATCCTCTGACTCTATCACTGCTGATGAAGGAGGCGATGGGGTTGCTATCCGAGTGGTGTGGTGATAAAGGTCTTTCAATTAATCCAGCTAAACTGGAACTGATAATGTTTAGCAGGAGAAGATCACTAGGCAACTTCAAAAACCCAAAATTTCAAGGCATCGAGTTAAAACTAAAGGATTCAATCAAATTCCTCGGGATAACGCTTGATAGGAAACTTGATTGGAAAGGCCACATTAAAAATATACAAAGGAAAGGCACAATATCCATGGTGCAATGTAGGAGAATTGTTGGGAGAACATGGGGTATCAAACCTTGGATGGCCAAATGGATATATACCGCAATTGTACTACCAAGATTTCTATTTGCAGCCCTAGTATGGTGGAAAGGGCTCGAAAATAAAGGGGCTATTAACAAGCTAAGATCATTTCAAAGACTAGGTTGTATGATGATGATGGGAGCATTTCCCACTACACCTACCCTAGCACTAACCAATACTACACCTCTACACATAGAGGTCAAGGTTAGAGCACTAACCAGCTGCTATAGATTAATTAGTGAAGGCAGCTGGAATCATAAGGGAAACAATATAGGACACTCGAAAATTCTTCATTTACTGAGTAAGGTTAATAACCAACTACTAAGTGTTAGTGACAAAAAGGTTAAAACACCTTTGGGGAAAAAACACTTTCAGGTAGTTACCCCATGTGATTATAATGTGGATGATGACCATAGTAGCATAGATTGCTTCACCGATGGCTCACTCATTAAGGACAAGGGAAGCGGTGCTGGAAGACATATACCCAAATTAGGAATCAGCACTCCTCCCCTCTTGGTAATAATACCTCAGTCTTTCAGGCAGAGGTCTGGGCCATCAATGTTTGCTGCAGAACACTCATGGATAATAATACTAAGGGAAAAGATATTAGAATTTTTTCCGACAGTCAGGCCAGTCTTAAGTCATTACAAAAAGAGTTATCTACATCTAGGCTGGTAGAGGAAACCGTTAAACTTATCAATAGGATTACTACTAGGGACAAGAATAGGGTAACCCTCATATGGATACCAGCTCATAAGGGGCACTATGGGAATGAAGGGGCGGACAGCCTGGCCAAAGAAGGATCAAATACTGCGTTTGTCGGGCCACAACCGGTATTACCCCACTCTATAAGCACAGCGAAAGAGAGTATTAGTTGCCGGGGCATGAAACAATTCCTTAAAGAATGGAATATGTCCCCCGGACACAGACAATCGAAGGAGTTTCTGAAGGAAATCAAACCAAAAGAAGCGAAATGGTTATTCTCTAACTCTAGGAGGGGAATTAAGAGGCTGATAGGTACCCTAATGGGCCATTGCCCCTTGAGAAGACACCTTTTCATAATGGGTATTCTACCAGACCCCTTTTGCCGCTTCTGTGAAACAAAGGAAGAAACAGCTCGACACTACCTCGCAGAATGTGATAGGTATGCTAGGGAAAGATTTGAAACTTTCGAAGGAGAGGACATAACCAAAACACTCCCCAAGATAAAATGGTCCAAAATCTTGGGGTTCGTGAATAGGTCCAAGAGGTTTATGCAGGACTCTGAGCCGACCAGGTCCCGGACCGTTTAGGGATGGGGTACGGGCCTACCTAGGCTTTTAACCCCTCGGGTCCTGGTCGCCCACCCTGCGTAATATATATAACTATAAATAAGTACTTAAAGTAAAATCATATTTAATTCACTGATATAATACATTACTATATGAAGTTACACATGGACAGAGCTACATTTAGGTAAGGTTAACAATAGAAAATTTATAAAAAGGAAAAATATGGAAGATGAAGATTTTAAAAATTCGTTATAAGGACTAATTACACTACTGACTAAAAAAGATATAGTACACATCATCAATATGCATATCATATAAAATACCACACTAATCATGCATAACATCATACACATATGCGCATGTTAATGTTAAATTTTAAACCATTTATATTCTATAAATATACACTATCCATTAAGTAAAGAAGAGAACTTTGAAATTCATAGGAAGTTGTTTTTTAGTTTGTAAAAAATTTAATTTTTATTCAATTATTCAATGTTATTGATAATAGGAAAGAAAAATGACAGCTTTATATGCGACATAACAGTTAAAACAGTAATTAAATAATTTATCAAGGCATAATAAGGGTGCGTATATAAAATGCTCTTGATTTACCACTACTTGTTAAAATGTATATACATCTACCTACCTATATTATAACAAAAATATACTATTAAATGGATTAGCCAATTTTAATGATTGTTTTACTCTGATTTTTTTATATCATCATTATATCATTCATTTGAATATTGAATTTTATACTAAATAAAAATAAGTCATGGAATTGGTCCACACAAATTTTTGATCTTTTTTAACAATACACCATAAGAAAAGAAAATTCCTTTGTAACAATTGTCAATAAGAATAAAAAAACTCTCAACTTGCAGCATCGATATTTAGCGGCTGCAAGGTGCGCATGTCGACTTAAAAAATATAAAAAGCTCTTAAATTAAAAATCGACTCGATATACAAAACAATGGGAATGCTATTGCATGCTCTCACCTGACAATCATGCACACATGCACTAGGTTTTATACCGTGGTGTGATGTGGCAAATGGTTCATATGATTTCCTTGATCAATTTGAGCATAAACTGTTGGCTCGCCTGACGCTGAGAGCAGTTCTGAATAAACTGTACAGGTGCCGGCTAAACTCAGCTCTGCATAAGTAACTTCTCCTTTCTGTTAAAAAGAAAAATTAATAAATGAATTTTCTTTTAAAAGTGGAGTGACAAAACAGTCTATTGGGTAATTTAATAGCGTAATAAAGATAATCCCACCGGTGATTTGAAGTTTAATTCTGTTGGGTAATGAGCCATATTTCTTTCAAGAATTTTTTCATCAGTGCCTTGATATTCTAGATAAAAAAAAGCATTAAAGATAAAAATTAAAATAATAATTTATCCTGGGTGGTAGTTGATATTGAAAATTACCACTGCTCAGTGGGATGATATCTGGATTGTTATCCAGGCTATCTGTGCTCTGATTCAATGGATGCTGTTTCACTGAATTAGCCTCTTCTCCTTTCTGCGTTTTGTTTTTCTCTCGGCATCTTAGAACCAAAACTACACAAGTAGCAACTGCAACGAGTGTTGCAACAACACCTGAGAGTATTCCAATCAGAGGTATAAATTGTAAAACCACAGGGCTAATAGCTGAACAAAAGAAGTAATAAATAAAAATTATAGCATTATTTTGATTAAAATCTCTTGTTTACCAGTCCTTTTTTGTGGCGACTTTAAAGTATATGTATGTATGATTGTGTAATCACTTCTTCCTTTTGCATTAATAGCATAAACTGCAACTTGATATTCAAGACCTGGTGGCAATCCGGCAACAGCCAACACTGGTGTCACTGATGATATATTAGCCATCAATATCCTTTTTGTAGATTCAAAGACCTCCATGACAAATTGTTGTTGCAGGCCTCCATCGAAGCCTTCAGAACATTCGACTCCCAGAGATGTCTCAGTTTGATTCACAAGTGAACAATTGGTGAGAGAGTCCGGTCGGCCTACAATTTCAAATACATTTGCTTTTAATATTTTATTTCAGTTCAATTTATTAGAACAATTTATGTCAATTCGTTACCTGCAGGGATTATGTGGTATGCACATGGTTGCTTCATTGTTCCGAGGGCATTTTTAGCCCAACAAAGCAAAGTGCCAAAATCATGTTCGGTTACTGGTGTGTAAGTTGCAATACTGTGGGTTGGTTCGGTTGTAAAATGTGTACTTGGTATTTCCACATTTTCTCCTGTGTTGTTGAACTTCCAGACATATTCTGTTGCTGGTGGGTTGGTCTCTATTTCACAGGGGACCCTGGCCAGTTCGCCTTTGCCAACCCCTATGATATTTGCTTGACCAGGGCGGCATACAGGAACGACTGAAATTATAAAATTTCTCAGTATGTGGTTAAGATGAGATTAATTTTTGAAAAGCTTACATTTGACGTCCAGATAAAGGGGGTTACTTTCACCGTCCCCTTCTTGGTTGCTGGCCACGCAAGTGTAAAGGCCAGCTCTCGCACGATCTACATTTTGTAGAACAAGGCTCTGATTTGCCAATATGGTTCCACCATTTAGGTTGTTTGTTACTGGGATACCCTTTAACAATGAAATGCCTTTTTAAAATATGAACTGTCAACAGTTTAGTATAATATGTGTATATAAAAAAATTATATTAAACATTGTGAAGTTTGCAAAGTGATGATTTTCACTGATTCATCTGGCATAAAACCAGCAAGATTAGCTGACCACAATGATTTGATACATCAGGTTGGAAAACCTGTTAGCATTATTGTTCATATTATCAAAGCATGCAGATGATAAAAAATTCAGTAACATCCTTCATGCAAATCCTACAAAATAAATTATATGCTGGCACTATTAATTTATACTGTTGTATTTTCCATAGTTTTTTTCATTTAGATGGTTCATTTGAAAAGGTCTTTTCCAACAAGCATTTATTAATAATTTAGCTTTGAGAGCTTCCTGCTAGCACTTGCTTAAAGTTGTTTTTATATTGGCAAATCTCAATATAACATTATAACTCTATTAGGCAAGTCTTTTTGACAAAACATTGTATTCTACTTAGGCAAATTATTGAAAGTGTAGGTTTACTTAATATTGAATATTTTTTAGGCTGGATAAACAAGTTGTTTTTGCACGACCATTAATTTCACTTTACTGACAAGTGCGCATGAGTTAGGTTAGGTAAGGTTAGGATTGGTTAGGGTTAGGGACGGATTAGGCTAGTCAGGTTTAGGGTTAGTGTTAGGTTAAGTAGTTGATATTGTTAATGGATTTGCAAGAATGTTTCATGAAAATTTTTCTAGCAGTGTGGTTCCAAATGCAGGAATTAATTTGTTATAGAATGATAAATTGAATCCTAGTTTTATTGTTGGATCTGATGGGACTGATGGAAGGTGTGTGCATGTGTGGGATTTGGAAAGTTTAGGGGTGTGATTAGGGTTAGGATGGGTTAGGTTAAGTAGGTATAGGGCTAGTGTTAGGTTAGGTAGTTTTAAGACTTGTGTTAGGGATGGGTCAGGTTAGGTTAATTAATTAATACTGTTAAACAATCTGCGGGAATGTTTCATGAAAATTTTTACTAGTGGTGTGGTCCCGAACTCAAGAACAGATTGTAGTATTGAAGTATTGGTTGATTTGGGCAGTGTGTTGTTCACTGAGGAATTAATTGGTGGTAGATTGAGAAAACTGAATTCTAGTCATATTATTGGACCTGATGGGACTGATAGAAGGAGTGTGCGGGTTGGGTTTAATTTAGTTAGGTTTGGTTGGATTGAAATTAAGGCTACTGATAGGTTAGATAGGTTTAGGGTTAGTTTGGTTAGGTAGTTTTAGGACTAGTGTTAGTGACGGGTTAGATTACGTAAGATAGTTGATATTGTTAATCGATTTGATGGAATGCATTGTGAAAATTTTACTAGTAGTGTGGTCTCAAATTCAACAACAGATTGTGATATTGGAGTAGTGGTTGATTTGTACACTGTGGAGTTCACTAAGGAATTATTTGTGATGGAGTGATAAATGTAACTCTGATCATATTAATGCTGTGATCTCCAGGGCTACTTGGAACCTGGGTTTTATTAAGCAAAAGACAAGATTTTACTGACTCATTTGCCATAAGAGTTTTGTTCTAGTCCTTGTGTAGAAGTCAAATTAAGCTTGCACAAATTGTTTGCAGTTCTTGCGGTTTGGTTGAAGCTGACGGACTTGAGAGAGTTCAGGGGAGGTTTATCAGGCATCCATGTTTAAGGGGGCATATTTTTTATGATGGGGTTTTATATTGTCCTTTTTTTGATACATTTGAGCTAAATATCATTAATTGAAAACGACCCATAATGGCTTGTGTTATCTTTTGCTGGAAATTATATAACAATAAAATTGATGCTCCAGAGATTCTAGCAAAGTTAGGATTACAAATTCCTCAAAGCCATTTTAGAGAGCATTTGTTTCATCAGGATAATCATAGAAATTAATTTAGTTTGTCCACCCCAATAGCGTGGGGTCCAAAATCCAATTAATTTGTCTAGTTTTGATAAATAAAATGTATTGAAAAAATTATGAAGTAAGATTGTACTCTTTTAATTTTCAATTATTGTTTAGAGTTGATAATGTATGAGGAGACATTTTACTCCCATTGTACTGTTATTATGGCCTTCAAATATTGTGTGTAATCTTTTCTGCATTTAGCTGTTTATTTATTTCAAGAATGTTTTCCTATCAGTTTTCTAAAAAAAAATATATATATATATATCAATGTATATTGTACTTACATTTCGCCTCCAACTGACTCTGTAGACCCATGGATTTGATTTGATGTTGCATTCAAAATAGACGTCTACGCCTTCCCGTATCCAGCTACCATTTAAATTTGTGCCGAGCTCCAGACTGACAATCGGAACATCTAGAAAATTAATAAGAAAAACAAATATAGAAAACAATTCTATATTTTTGTTTAAATCTATAATCAATTAACTAACGGTAGATGTTGAGTTTCCAGCCGTCTTCCATTCCTGAATCTGGTATCAGGCTGTTGACTGCTCGACATGACAAGTACTTGCCAGAGTCCTCCATTGTTGGCACCAGACTCAGCGTACTGACCGTCCTATTTCCATCAGTGCTTGTCTGAAAATGCAATTACAATTCAACGATGAATATTATTACATCATAGCCTATGAACGCATAATAAGAAACTTGTAGAAAAGTGAACTCAAATAAGTACCCACATATTAATTTGATTGTACGATTTTTTAATTTGATAGCACGTGATACATTATAAGATAATATATTTGTTGAACTATAATTGTTTAATAACTATTATAGTATTATTAATTTATTATGATTATTATTATTACTAATTATTATTAGTTTTACTGTATTATAATTAATGCAGTAATAGTGAATTAATTTAGAATAATGCCTTCTTGCATGTTAGATTGATACCCTGAAAGCAAGAAAAAGTGGCTACCCTTAATATTTTTAATTATGTCTTAGGCAATACTCCAGCAATTATCTTACAATAATATTTGGCCTGTTTAAACAATTTGAGGCAAATAAAACACAGATAAATCTCCCACTTGTCTTTACAATCGGATTTTGTAAATAAATCTTTGGATAATCAATCTTTGTTGATTTTTCCATAAAGCTTCTTTCTAACGTTCCGGTGGTTTGATTTTTTTTAAGTTGTACCATTTTTAAGTTTCAAATTTGTTTGAGTGATGGTTTTAAGTGATACAGATTCGGCTAGAATGGTAGCATTGTTGGAACATAGAAAAAGTCGTGTATGGCCAGGTTGTTTAACATTCCCAGAAGAACTGTCCAAGGTTCTTCCATCACTACCACGATACTGGAGGTTTCTCGAGAAGGTCTTCATCATGTCATATCTCAGAATGATTGTTTTATTGTTTCGAATGTACTTGTTAATCTACAGCTGTTGAGATCAACCAACAACTTCAACAAGCTAATGTTTGTTTTAAGCACTGTAAGGTGAAAACTTTTAGAAGCTGTAATATGTGCAAGAAGGCCTGTCACTGATCCAGAACTTCTGACAAGGCACAGAAGAGTTCAGTTAAGTTTCAGAAGAAATCACATAAATTTGAGGAAGATTGGAAAAATCTAGGTTTTGTTTGAGGTCTTCTGATAGTTGAGAGAGGATTTGTAGAAGAACAGGAGAGCGATACATCCCTGCAACATTCCACTCTGGAGAAGCTATGGAGGTGGTGGTGTTATGGTTTGGGCAGGCATTTCTATGGAAGGTCGTATAAACTTTATTTTCATCGTGAGTTCCCTAACAGCTGCTCGATACATTGAAGATGTAATCAGAAAAAGTTCTTCCTTACATGCCACTAATTGCTGACAGTTTTATTTTTATGCATGACAATCCAAAACCCACACAGCTAGGATCATTGGTTCAGACTTCAATTTTAAGTTTGGAGTGGCCAGCATGCAGTCGACTTAAACCATATCGAACACCTTTGGGATGAGTTGTCAAAGGGGGTAAAAAGGCGCCCAGTGATGCTGGAGGGTTTTCAATAATTAAAAATGGCACTGTTGGAGGAGTATGAAAATATTCTACAGCACTGCATTCATAACCTCATAAAATCTATGCCACATCGAATGCAATTGGTGATCATCACTCCATATTGAAATCAATGTTTTCTTCTTGGCTACTGGTTACCTGCTGCACCAGAGTCCCTTCAAACGCTGCAGAGTCAACTGACTCACGGCCCCGGCCTTATCTATAGTCTCAACAATACTCAACACCGGCTTTTGTCAGGGCCACTAAAACACCCAGTCACTAAATCCCCAATTACTTCGAGGAATATCAGTACTCTGGGATAGTGTCCATGTAATTTATTAGCGTGTGGTGGAGTTTATCCTCAATTACCCCGAGGATTATCAAGTATTCTGGGGTAATCAGGTTTTTTTAATCTTGTTTCTGTGTATTTGTGTTCCTTATTTGTCTTACTTTATCCAATTGACGAGGCCCTGAGGTACAGAGAGGCTATCAATAGGACAAAGAAAAGAGAGAAAGAGGGAGAGAGTTAGTTACCAAGAAACATCGAAACTTAGCTGAAGAAACAGAAATAGAAAGAAAGTGTTGAGATGGTACAACTGTATAAAAAATATGAGTATGAAGAGTAGCATTTTCCACGAACGCGTCTGACTTGATGAAAGCAGCGAAACTAAACGAACCAGTCGTTACAGGTATTGACCAAACTGCTGACAGTTTACCTCGCAAGTTTGGATTTACAGATTGCATTCATCCGTAGGAGAATTCGGTTTATCCTTGTATTAAAAGTGCTCTGGAAGGAGAACAAGGGTCGGGTTAAGACTGGGTGAAGCAATTACATCGGTCGTTAGGGTGTGGGGGACTGTAACAATGTGCCTCTGCATCCGACTGTAATAGCCTCATAAAACTGCCCTCCCCGGTGGACATTGTGAGATAATAAATTAATTGCAAACAAGGACCTAATTGAGTCTGGGATTCCCGCTAAACCCACCTCCTATCAACTAATTCAAAACTCCCAACTTCCCTCGATTCCCTTCATTATACTTTCAGGGTGGGATTACACGTAATTTCTAAGGTATCTTGTTGATTTATGTCTAGATTGATTGTGCTTTATCCTATTGTTCGGACGTTCGAATCCCCGTTTTCTATCTCAGCCTCTCTAAGGCATCCCTAACATTTTTTTTGTTGATCAACCGTCCGATAGAAGAGGTAAAATTATGGCTTTTATTGAGCGAAAAAAGTCTTCACGACGCCATAAAGATAACATTTCCACGAATGTGCTGGGGACCATTTAAATTGCGAGCTATAGACTCAACAATTGCCCGTTTTGAGACAATGAACAGCATCACTTCGACAATGCTTCCGTCCTCCAAACAGCAGGCAATAAACATGCAGCACCCCTATATTTAACCAGGGCTTAACTCAGACTCGTTGACGGGTTCTCGCCACTAATGGAGAGACCAGCCAACACAAGCCACAAGCAACAGGGTCCTCTCAACAGCTCGCATTAATCGCTCCTCGACAGCGGACTTGACCTGACAACATTCCGAGGACAAAAAGCTGCTGAGAGTCTCACAAAATTGGTCCTTCTCAAGGCCCCTACACAAAAGGTAAACCATTATTGTCGGTAACAAGCAATAGTGAACAAGATAGGGAAATAAATATACACAATTAGGGTGGTTGTTAGTCTGGGAGTCGGAATGATCGATACTTGATCACTTTACTGGGGGCCATCTATTTTAAAGTCCCTAAAGGTGATGTTTGGAAGGCAGAAGCGTTGCCGGATAGTGGTGAAAACTTAAGTAAACCACAGGCAATCACCACAGGGGCAGTTATGTTTTATAAATTAATTTAGAAAGAAGTACTTTATTTATAATTAATTGTCATAGAAAATGCGAAAGATGTGGATTATGTTGGCTGCTTGCTTCATTCATCGTTATAGCTCGTCGAGTAGTGTGATTTACCTTTAAAGCCGGGAACACACCCGATGCTACGCCATGCGACGCTACCCGATGCTACCCGACGCAAATCCAATTTTCCATAAGATTGTACTACCCCCGTGCACATCTGCCCGATCCACGCAACGCTGCCCTACTCTACGCTAGCGATCCCCACTGTCCAGATTTTCGTCGGGTAGCATCGAATACAGTCGAAGACAAAAGAACCGGGCACTCATATTTTTATTCAAACTACGTGTATATTGTCGTTATATTAATTACAACAAACTTATTTTAATATAAACCAAATTAACCGAGATCAAAAGTTCGTAAGTTTTTATAAAAAAATATTTAATTATTTTGGCTAGGAAGAAAATTTATCAAAACACCGGAAAACCATTTATTGATATAATGAATTTAACTAACAATTTATTACATGGTTTTGCTCATAAAATTACACCATTTTCGTCTAGTAGCGTCAGAACAGGACACTCATATTTTTTGTAGTTTATTTCAAACTAGGTATATGTAATTTTGTCGTTATTTTAATTACAACATTCTTATTTTAATAACCAAAATTAAACGAGATCAAAAATTCATGAGTTTTAATAAAAATTATTTAATTATGATGGTTAGGAAGAAAATTTATCAAGACACCGGAATAACTTTATTTAAAACAATTAACAATTTATTAATTATGATAGTGCTCACAAAATTTAACTAACAATTTATTTCATGGTTTTGCTCTAAATAGTGCATTAAGAACAAAAGATGCGTTGCGATTGTGATAGTGATTATTGTGATAAACGCTGTGGACTGTACGCGACTTGCGTCGCACAGATGTGCACACCCCACCAAAACGTGGCAAGGCGTCGGGTAGCGTCGCATGGCGTAGCATCGGGTAAGTGTGTTCCCGGCTTAAATAGCTCCATGTTATTTGGATGATGTTTATAAGGCGGAAACATTGTCGAACTATTGGTGGCACTTGATGGAAACTTGAGCAAGCCACAGGCAATCATCACATTAACAAAGATCGCTCGGGATTTTCTTGGTTCCCTGTTTTAAATAAAAGTCTTCATTTACTCTACATTTGATCGTATTTGTGGATTCATTGGGTACATTTAGTATTTTTCTGTACATTTTGGATTGGCTGTAAGCTGGAATGCTTGGGAGCACCACAAAGTTGTTGTCCATAAGTGCTGTAGTAAATGGTTTGGAAGGTTAAAATAGGCCTTTCGTCAAGTTGTTTTGATAGATGTACTATAACACTTTATCTGTTTTCTTAAGTTGCATACGTGGATTACACGTTGTCCCTTTTCTAGGTAAATCCCTGTCGCTGTAGGAACTAGATGAGAGAGAGTCGGACGTCTTCGAAACGATGTATATGTAAAATCCTAAGTTTCAACTTTTTATAAGAAGTGTGTGGTGTTTAGTGGCTGTTAATTAATGATTATTCGGAGATCGTGAGATGCGGTCTGGTGTGACGTAAGTTTCAGAAAAACATTTTATTTATCGCGCCAACGTTTCGACCTTTATTGAGATCATCTTGCCATTCTCGTGTGTCGTGTTGAGAGTGCCAGTGAGATGTTTATTTATTTTTATAAGAAGAGTGTGTGGTTAGATAATGTTACAATTCAAAGATACTTTAATTGTTATACTCTTTTTTTTTCTAAATTATATTCGATTTTACAGTTTTATGTTTACTAAAGTGTTAATTTTTGCTTATTACAGCTTTATTCCGGCAAATTAACTAAATCATTTCAAATTAAACCTTTTAAACCTCAAATAAAACTTTTTTAACTGCTAATTAACCATTTTTAATTGCAAATTAACCTTTTCTTCTAAGCAACAAAGAAACTTAGAAGTTGATAGGGAATATAAACATATGAAGTAAAATTCCTGTATACTTGAGAATTTTTTAAAAATAAAAAATAATTGGGCACTAAGACCATGTAATAATTACGTGCAATGAAAATTGAAATTCATGCACACAAATATAAAAACAAATGGTTCTTCTAATATTAATTCGAGTTTTTTTAATAAAAAATAATTTGTGTGTTAAGCACTACATGAAAATTAATTACAATTAAAATTAATAGTTATATATAAATAATTTTTTTTACGAGGGTTCGCAACAGCAGAAGTCATATCAACCCACGAGGAGTTGTAAGTATGTCGGGTTCGAACGCAGGGCCGCTGGATTCGAACCCGGGACCTTTACCTTACAGTGATGAGCGCCGTGTCAACGCCTAAACCGTTGCGGCCACCGACGCNATAGGTGTACTATAACACTTTATCTGTTTTCTTAAGTTGCATACGTGGATTACACGTTGTCCCTTTTCTAGTTAATCTCTGTCGCTGTAGGAACTAGATGAGAGAGAGTCGGACGTCTTCGAAACGATGTGTATGTAAAATCCTAAGTTTCAACTTTTTATAAGAAGTGTGTGGTGTTTAGTGGCCGTTAATTAATGATTATTCGGATCGTGAGATGCGGTCTGGTAACAAATATTGATATCATTTAAGTGGTTCCAATAAAGCAATGTATCTATCTTAATTTTCATAATTAAAGATCTTTAATATCCCTAATAGTTCATGAGAAATAGGTTTTTTTTTCTGTACCAATTTCATCCCATCACGTGAAGTGACTTTAGTACATTAAATCAATTTGTATAATTTTCATTCTAAAAGTATTTGTATTATTTTCACAATCGATGCAAATCGATGACTTTCACATCGTACAACACTGTGGGCACTTATTTTTTTCTTACAAAGCCTTAATTTACGAAGCGACATAAAAATTTTGTAAGCAAGTTTAGGAATGTGATAACTACACCGTCATGACTCGTAAAATATTTTATGTAATAGCAATGTATCACATATAAAATTATTTAAAGCACACGACGGACTAAGATACAAGAAGGTAACCTAGGATTTTTACCTAATATCAACTTAATCGCTTAAAAATTGGGTGTCTTCCCCAGGAACTAGTTAAATTAACAACCTACAAAACAAATTATGAAATTAAAAATTTTTGCCTATCACATAGATACAAGGAATGACTTAAAAATGGATGTCTTCCCCAGGAACTAGTGAACAAATGAAAAATAATTAAGGAATATAACAAAGTTGGAGAGGCAGAAATGTGGGAAGGTATTATACCTTCCTCTTTGTTTGAAAACAATTTCTGCCCTCCCCATTTTTCCTGCGTGGTTTCAACTGCATTAATGGGCTTTGTGCCATCTTGCCAAAACCACAATAAAGGCAGAACCTCAGAATTCAGCCAAGATCTCTTCACCGTAGATAGACAACTCGGTAGGCTGTAGTGTCGTCATATACAGGAATGAAAGCGCATATCTTGAGGTTGAGAGTGGTTGAATGGTGCTCTACCAATCAAGCTGAGCTTCTCGCTATCTACGTGGGGCTACAGCATACGCGGACTCAGACCGTGGTTCCCAACGTAAAGATAGCAGTGAACACCGACAGCCGAATGGCTCTACTATCGATCCGTAACAATAAAAATGCCACCCCATTTGCTTGAAAACGGGCTGGGCAGTATTCTTCACGTGGGTGAGCGCTTATACAGATCGTCCCGGTAATGAAGAGGCGGACCGACGAGCCAAAAAAGCGGCAAAAGACGGAAACCTTGAAGTAACCTTTGCTACGATTCTGAGGACACATGTCTATAGAATGTGCAAATTAAGGACCGCTCAATCATGGCAAACCCTCGGGGACGAGACGGAAAACGGTACATACACGAAAGCATTTTTCCCTAATAGCCAATCAAAACTCGATTCCGCCTTCAAAATAACAGCTAAACTGGCACAGGTGCCCCAAAGGCATGGGAAACGCAATACCTCCACCGTCATTACATGACCTCATCGTACACACAAAAACACTGTTCCCGCAATTTTTAAGGCCGCCACAGCCGTTCGAATTTAAAATTCGATCGTGTACCATAGTCACCCTTCATTACGGTAATTAAAAAAAAGGTCATTAATAATTAAATATACTTATAAGAAATACGTTTTGGTCGTGAATTGTTAAAATGAAGTACAAAGTTTGTTGGTTTTTGTTTAATAAATTTTAATACGGGGTTTTTGTTAGATCCTGAGGGCCGGATTTGTACAAATGCCAGGACTTGGAAAAGTGTGCTAATCCTGATTTACCCCTTTGATCGTCTCCATTCGATAAAAAAGAATCTATAGCTGTAAAACCACTTTTTTCCCAGTAAACAAGGATATCTTTTTATCAATAGCCGCTCACCGTCTCCCTGGTGTTCCTCAGTTGTATACTGCCCTTCCACCACGTGATGAGAGGAGGAGGCCGAGCCCCGACCACCTCGCAGGAAATTTCGTACGTGTTCTCACTGCTTAGAGGCCGATTTTGTCCAAGCAGCTTCACCCAAAGTGGTCTCACTGAAAAAAATAAATAAATAAAAATTGTAGTATATTGAAAAGGCGTAAGTCGTAAAAGAAGACAAAGCCGAAATTTTAAATACAATTGTTGAACACATATGAAATTATTACGACATATGTGGTGTTTAGTTAATGATTATTAGGAGATCGTGAAATGCGGTCTGGTGTGATGTAGGTTTTAGAAAAACATTTTCTTTATCGTGCCAACGTTTCGACCTTTATTGAGATCATCTTGCCATTCTCGTGTGTCGTGTTGTGAGTGCCAGTGAGATGTTCATTTATTTATTTTTATAAGAAGAGTGCGAGGTTAGATAATGTTACAATTGAAAGATACATTAATTGTTATATGCTTGAAAATTATATTCGACTTTAAAGTTTTATGTTTACTAAAGTCTTAAGTTTTGCTTATTACAACTCTATTCCGGCAAATTAATTATTAATAATTTCAAATTAAACCTTTTTAACCTCAAATAAACCCTTTTTAACTGCTAATTAACCATTTTTAGTTTTAGGGATTTATAAACATTTTTAAAGTCGGTGGCCGCAACGGTTTAGGCGTTGACAAGACGCTCATCACTGTGAGGTAAAGGTCCCGGGTTCGAATCCAGCGAATCAATTGCATTCCAACCCGACATACTTACAAATGGGCTTTTCTTCAAAAACACCGGCACCCCGAGGTGCGAAATTTCACAAATAAATGTAGGATGTGAAAAAGAATGAATTTATGCAATGCTAGAAAATTTTAGATTTGAAAAATGAATTTATATAATGTTAGAAAATTTTAGAAAAAAGATGAATTTATACAATGCTAGAAAAGTTTATATTAAAAAAATGAATTTTTTTTTTTTTTTTTTTTATTGAATNAACTTAAAATTTTCTAGCTTTGTATAAATTCATTTTTTTTATCTAAAATTTTTTAGCATTGTATAAATTCATTTTTATAATCTAAAATTTTCTAGTATTGTATAAATTCATATTTTTTCACATCCTACATTTATTTGTAATATTTAAACAATGTTCATAAATCCCAGGCCCTGAAGATGATCTCAATAAAGATCGAAACGTTGGCGCGACAAAGAAAATGTTTTTCTTACAATTTCCGAATAATCATTACTTCGACATTTTAAAGGAGAAGTTACTATATTTGCTAGTATTTGAGGAAAATTGCTTACTATTGTCTTCTTTAAATTTTATTTGGAATTACAAGCAGTCATCATTTATAAAAAAATATCATTTTTCCCTGCTAACATACACATATAATAGTCTACGGACGAATAACTTGTAAAAATGCGTAACTTTTTTCTTTATAATTTTTTAACTACAAGGAAAACCTATTCGGCCGAGGCAGTGAAAATAGATGTGGTCTGCTTAACAAATCTATTATTTGAATGGAACAAGGGACGCTGGTTGGTGACGGGTTATTCGTTGGAAAGGATTCGCTTTGGGCAAATCCAGTGTCAGGACCATGCAAGATGTCAACCGCTCGTATGCAAGATAATAATCTTGTACACCAATCAACTCGGTAGTGAGTTAAGAACTGTCGCCCACACAATAACTCATGCCAGTCTGGCTAACATAAGCACGATAATATAAATTATACACTCATTTTAATTTTCTTATGTTTTATTTTTTTATCTCTTTCTATTTCCCAGGGATCTGAATTTTTCTCACCTAAAACTATTGTTACTCATAGTTTTTACATTATTTTTACATTCCTTAGGTACAACTATTCTAAAACAGGTTAATGTTTATAAAAATTTATGGTCAAAACCGGTTGATGGAATTCAGTGACAAGTGCAAATTTTGCGTGAAAACGTGATTTTTCTACGCAAAAACTGAATCCGTTATTGGCGCAAGTAAGATGTTTCAATGAAGCCTTTGGCTTCGGTGGTTTGTCTAATCGATTATCACAAAAATTCACTATAAGCTTTTTCAGCTTATTTTTTTGTTGTTATATATTCTTTTTCGTTTTCCCCCCTTGAGATGGTTCGTGTAAAATTTAAAAAGGCAAAAAGGTTTTGACTGGACCAACTTGCAGCGAATGAGAAAAGCATCGTTAGTCAAGAGGGCGCCGAAAAAGGATGCACATCGAACACCAAAGCCAAAAGGAAGTAGAGTATAAGAACCAGAAAGTGAGACCATATAGGGCTGGAGAAAAAAATTCTAAATAAACTATATTGTTTTATGTTTCTTAAAAAGTCACAAAGAGTGAAAAGAAAACAAATAGTAGATGATGGGGTTTGGTCTGCGAGTTGGCGACTCATGTTGAACCGGCACAACGCGTTTGAATAACTCAAACAAAAAACCCGCGTGTGAAGACAGACCCAGTAGTGCCCGTGTGCCGGTTCAACATGAGAAAACAAATATTTAAAGTGAAAAAATAGGTAAAAGGAATATGAAAATGACCAAATTGTTGGTACTGCTTGCGTACTCTCTTCTTCTGAAGCTATGAAAGCTAATTTCAACATTTTTTCTTGTAAATACTATCAGGCGTGACGGGTTTATTGGATCATTTCTTTTAAGTTTCTTGTACCATTCAAATAATTAATAAGTATTGCTAGGCAAATAGAAACCGTCCAAATGGAGTCGACGGATTTCACCCAGGATTGAACACTCAGCTAGAAAATGAGTAATATTTTCGATAGCTCCAGAATTGCAGAGAGAGCAAATTCCAGAGCCTCCCCGAAACGACTGAGCCGAATTCAGATGTTATAGCTCGCACGGCATTTTAAATTGCCAATTCAAATCAATTATGAAGTTAACGTTTATATTATCTTTGTAAAAATCGAATAAGGCAACAGAATGAGTTTTTTACATAGCGATAAATGTGTAGATCAATGAAAAAAAGAGGAGCTCAATAAATTTATTCAGGTCGACGTGCGGAAGGCATTTATCCCTACCCGAATTAAAACCGTGCCAGTAAATTTCTTTGTTTAAAGGCCCCCAGACGCCCGTTATACTCCATGAGTGAGGTTGGGGCGGTCCCAAAAAGTTGGACTTTGGCCGAAGGGGGTCGCAGACGCCCGTCAGACTCCATGAGTGAGGTGTGAAGCGGTCCCAGAAAGTTGGACTTTAACCGAGGGGGTCGCAGACGCCCCTCAGACTCCATGAGTGAGGTGTGAGGCGGTCCCAGAATGTTGGACTTTGACCCAGGCGTTCCCACTGACCATTTTGTACTACTGCTAGGGCTAAATCTTCGACAATCATGGTTAGCTGGGCGGTGGTAGATTGTCATGACCTGAAACCAAATTGCTCTGGCATAATGATTGTCATGTGGGTAAGCATAACACGTTCAAATACCTTGCTGACACAGCTAAGACGGATAAAAGATAAAGCAATTCCTGTTAAGTCGGAGGGCTTAACGTCAAACTGACTAAGGACCGAATCACATTACAATACTTTTTTGACCGTAATTTAAGTTCTGTGGGATAAGCCGGGATTCAAACCCAGAACCACTTGGCAACTCCGGTCCCCGTTCGATGCATGAAAGCCTAACATACATGTGTATGCTTTTACAATTATTTTTTTTTTTTTGGGGGGGGGTTGTATATAAACGGTAATAACTGAGTTTTTAAGTTGTTTGAGCGAAACCCATTTCGACGTCAGGTCAGGCCGACCCATAAAAGGAAAAGGGTTATGTTTGCGTAGCAAGTGCGCTAACAAACTGAACGCGAGTGTTTACATTAATTGCCGGCGCAGAAAGTTTACCAGTTATTGCAGAAAGGGTTGAAACGAGTTGAAGGGACACCACGGGGAAATCCAAGGAGAGAGCAAGTTTTGTTCGTTTAAAAGCCAGAAGTTGCCTATCAAGCCTTCTTATCTGCTACCCCATACAGGTACCGTATCTCCGACAGCGTTTGAAACCCACATGCACTACTCGCGGCGTCTACGCCAGCACAGCCGATCATTTGAAGTTTGAAGATAAGCTATTTATTGTAGGGTTGGGAGAATGGCCGTTTCCTAACAATGTCCTCTAATGGCGAAACTTTATGGTGACAATAGTTAACATACGTTTTCACATCGAATTACTTGTCATTTGTACAAAATTAAATTATCCGACGTTAGTAGGGCTAAAAAAAATAATTCGCGTGTGCAGGTGTTGCAAATTAAAATTTATACGTTATTTCAATTAATTATTATTTTATGAAAGTTCTTGGTTGAGATGATGAAGTTAGTGTCACGAACGGGATTCGAACCCACGACCTTCGGCTCAGTAGGCCGCTGCTATAACCACAGCTCCCCGTGGCCACTTCATACATGTATCTCCGAGAATCGAATCCTGATTACACGACATTTGAAAAATGGCGAAAAGAGGTAAAAGTGCGAAAGATGGGGAGTTGGTGTCCGAGTGGATCGAAGCCACGATAGCTCAAGTGGTTAGAGCACCGGCGTATTGAACATCTACCCATTCTATCTTTATTTATTTTTCAAAATTAACATTGTTTTATGTTAAAGCAAAAATCAAACTAGTATTTGTAAAAGTGTTATATATATATTAAACGGTTTGAAATTATTTTTCCTTTGAATTCACTCCCAACGAAGTATCCCATATCATAAGCCATCTACCGTAAGCTCTTGGTTTCGACCTGATCACCGCAAAAATCCTTCGGCAACTACCTCAAAAAACGGTATTTCCTTACCTGCATTTATGAATGTGTCAAGAACAAAATACTTCCCATCCCAATGGAAATTTTCACTCATCCGAATGATTCCAAAGCTTAAAAAACCCCTTTACCTTCCATCATCAGACGGACCATTTAGTTGATAGCCTACAATAGGCAAAATCGTACAAAATCTCCTCTTTAAACACATTCTTCCCATCCTTCATTCCTGTAACCTAATCCCTGATCAGTTTCGGTTCGGACGTTCTCGTTCCACAGTTCAGCAGCGACATCGCGCCGTAGACTTAAGCAAAAAGAGTTCTGCTCCGGCTAAACTGAGAAGAGTGGTAGGAATACTAACCGGTCGCTGGCATTTGAGAAAACATCTACACAACATGG